GGAGGATTTCCAGGCTCCTGAGTGTCTCCAGCTCAGCTCAAGCTCCTATAAATCCTTAATCCTCGACCAAAGTCTGCCCAGGCCCGGTCAGGCAGTGTGACCTGGCCGGGAAAATCAGACTTTACCTTTCTGCAGAGCTTTGCTTTTCTCAGTCTGGTCCCCCCCCTGACCCTTTTTTTCCATCTCTGGAAAGCCAGAGCACCCCATGGTGTCTGATTTTCAAGCCAAAATTAACATTTTTTCTTAAAAAAATAGAGAAATTTAAAAAAAAAACAATCAATAGAATATTGATCTTGTAACCTGCTCCTTTGGCTGTGGGAGTTGGGAGAAAATCTCAGTGACAGAACACAAGGTGCAGCAAAAATCAGCCCTTTTCCCATCTTTTTATTGTTTTAACGGATTTTGGGAATTCCTCGGGGTGCGGTTTGTGTGAACGCGTCCCTTCCAGCTCGAAACCACAATGGAAATTTGGGGAAGGAGCCTCCCGGAGCTCCGAGGAGCTGAGGAAATGCGGGATCCGCTCCGGGCTGTGATCAGCAAATCCCTCSGAGCCCTGCGGGTGGGAGAATCCCCCCAAACACGCGGAGCTCTCCCGAGTCCCCCAAACTCCTCCAGAGGGCAGGAAAAACCCAGAAACAACCACAGAAAATCCCAAGGGAAGTTTCGCTCCGTTTCATCACCCGGAGGTGGAGCAGAAATCGGAGCGGAGGAACCGCCGCGGCCAAAGGGGAAAGGAGAGGGATGGAACGGGGGCAGCTCCTCGGGGCMGCACCTGCCTGACTTTTTCATGTTTTTTTGGCACGGGGAGGTGTCAGATGAGCGAGCGACGTGCGGGGCACMGCGAGGGAGGGTTGGCACCGCTCCCGGCACGGCTCGGACCGGGCAGCGACCTCGGGGCACGGAGGATGCACCCAAAACTCGCTGCTGCACCAGGAGTGAGGTCCTGGTTGCCCACAGCAGGTCAAAACCGTCAGAACTCATCTGTCCCCGCAGCTTTTATCCCGGAAAAACCCTTGAATATTTGAATTTGGGGAGGTTTAATCCAAATTTCAGCCGCGGGCAAAAAAAAAAAAATCCCAGGCACGTTGGTTTTGCTGTGAGGGAGAGGAGAGAGCTTTAAAGGTCAGAGAACAGAGAAACATTAAAATTTCAGGCTGCTCTGCTGGAAGAAGCTCCCAGATCTCCTGACACCGGCGGCAGCTCTCGGTAATTCCTCTCGCTCCTGAAATATTCATCTCATCCGCTCCTGCCAGGATCAAACGGAGCGTGGAGCGCGCCTGTGACCTGCAGGACCTGCTGGCACCTCGGGGACTTGGGGCACGGAGAGGTGACAGGTCCTGTTGATGGCAGGGTTCGGGTTAGGGTCAGGATTAAGATCAGTCCACCCCATAGGGTTAGGATCAGGGTTAGGGTCAGGATTAGGGTCAGGGTTAGGGTCAGGGTTAGGGTCAGGATTAGGATCAGGGTTAGGGTCAGGGCCCGGGTTATGGTTAGAGTTTGGGTTAGGATTATGGTTATGGTTAGGGTTATGATCAGGGTTAGGGTCAGGATTAGGATCAGGGTTAGGGTCAGGATTAGGATCAGGGTTAGGGTCAGGGTTAGGGGCAGGATTAGGGTCAGGATTATGGTTATGGTTAGGGTTATAATTAGGATTAGGGCCTGGGTTCGGGTTTGGGTTAGGCTCAGGGTTAGGGTTATGATTAGGGTTTGGATTAGGATTATGGTTATGGTTAGGGTTATAATTAGGGTTAGGATCAGGGTTAGGGTCAGGGTTAGGATCAGGGTTAGGGTCAGGATTAGGGTCAGGGTTCGGGTTCGGGTTAGGCTCAGGGTTAGGGTCAGGATTAGGATTAGGGTTATGGTTAGGGTTATAATTAGGGTTAGGGCCTGGGTTAGGGTCAGGGTTAGGGTCAGGGTTGGGGTTATGATTAGGGTTAGGGTAAGGGTTAGGTTCAGGGTCAGGATTAGGGTTATGGTTTTGTTAGTGTTTGGGTTAGGATTATGGTTATGGTTATGATTAGAATTAGGGTCTGGGTTAGGGTCAGGATTAGGGTCAGGGTTAGGGTCAGGGTTCGGGTTTGGGTTAGGCTCAGGGTTAGGGTTATGATTAGGGTTTGGGTTAGGATTATGGTTATGATTAGGGTTATAATTAGGGTTAGGGTCAGGATTAGGATAAGGGTTAGGGTCAGAATTACGATCACGGTCAGGATTAGAGTGTCCCAGGCAGTGTCCCAGAGGGTCTGGCACGGGGACTGTGCTGAGGACAGGGGACACAGCCCCATCCCCCGCCTGCCCCGTCCCCAGGGCTCCAAACCCATCAGCTCCATCTGTTCTGGACCCCAAACACACAGGGTTCACCCTCCTCTAAACCCCAGCACTCCCCGCAGACTGAGGGCTGGGCACGAGGGTGCTAAATGAGACTGAACTTTATTAGAAGCTTCCAGAATATTCCATCTGCTGCTCCCTCYCCCCGCAGAGCCCCTCCCAGCGGTGCCCAGCTGCTCTGGGCCATACAGAGCCCGTCCCTCTCCAACTCACAGCCCCAAATCTCCCGTCAGGGATAACCCATGGCCTCCAGCCCGGCCCCACACACATCACTGACACCATTATTAACATTATTATTAACATATTAACATCATTAACATCATTATTAACATCTCACGGCACTCTCAGCACAAGGACAGGAACCTCCCCTCGCTGTTTTTGGGGACAATCCCCAGGCCCAGCTCCTGCAGAGCTCACAGACGGACAGACGGACRGACAGACCCACACCGCAGCTCTGGGCTGGCTGCCCTCAGTGCTCCATCCCATATTTGTGTCATCTCTCACTTCCCAGACCGRTGAGAGAAGGAAAATCCTGAAAGAGGGTGGCATTGGGAGAGGGGAGAAACTGAACCACTTCCTTTTCATTTTTCCTCCCAAATTTTTTTTTTTACTCCCTTCATTTTTTTCCCTTCTGGGCCCCCTCGAGCCCTTCCCCAGCCCCCCAAGTCCCACCCTCCCCTCACCCCACAGCTCCCCCACCCAGCTTTGCCTCTCTGGGGTGGGAGGCACCAGAGGAAATAAATCAAATTTATAAAAGGAAATAAATCAGATTAACAAAGGAGACCCTGCTGATCAGCACGGCCAAACTGTCCACGTGTTTCTCCCTCCCCTCCAACATCCTCCTGCTCTGTTCCCTGATCCTTTCCTGAGCTCAGAACCCTTTCCTTGCTGCCTTTCCCAAATCCTCCTGCCCTATTTCCTGATGCTTCCTTGAACTCAGAACCCATCTGCCCTTCCCAAATCCTCCTGCCCTGTTCCCTGACACTTCCCTGAGCTCAGAACCTTTCCTTGCTGCCTTTCCCAAATCCTCCTGCCCTATTTCCTGATGCTTCCCTGAACTCAGAACCCTTCTGCCTTTCCCAAATCCTCCTGCCCTTTTTCCTGACGCTTCCCTGAGCTCAGAACCCTTCTGCCTTTCCCAAATCCTCCTGCCCTTTTTCCTGACACTTCCCTGAACTCAGAACCCTTCTGCCTTTTCCAAAAATCCTCCTGCCCTGTTCCCTGATGCTCCCCTGAGCTCAGAACCCTTTCCTTGCTGCCTTTCCCAAATCCTCCTGCCCTATTTCCTGATGCTTCCCTGAGCTCAGAACCCATCTGCCTTTCCCAAATCCTCCTGCCCTTTTTCCTGACACTTCCCTGAACTCAGAACCTTTTCCTTCTGCCCTTCCCAAATCTCCTGCCCTGTTCCCTGACCCTTCCCTGAGCTCAGCCCCTTTCCCAAAAATCCTCCTGCCCTTTTTCCTGACGTTTCCCTGAGCTCAGCCCATTTCCCTGCTGCCCTTCTCACCCTGTGCGTTTCCTCAGGACCCTCCCTGGCTGCTCTTTGCCCTGGTTCGGGCTGGGTGACCCCTGCCTGTCCTCTGCTGTGGCATTGGGACAGACAGGGACACAGGGACAAGGACAGACAGGGACACAGGGACAAGGACAGACCCATTCGTGCCCTGGCTCATAGGCACGTGTGACAGAAACCCAATCCCAGCTCCTGAGCACGGAACGGAGTGAAATCCGAGAGGATGAGTCCCCCTGGAGCCCTCAAAGCGGCCATGGGAGCCCTGGGCTGTGCCAGGAGAGCGGCTCCTCCATCCCCCGGAGCTGCTGCCCAGCCCAGGCTCAGCCAGGCTCAGCCCAAAGCTCTCTCTTTTCCTCGCTCATGGTTATCCCGGCTCCTCTGCCGGGATGGAGCATTTCCCAAAGCTCTCTCCTTTCCTCCTCACGGATATCCCGGCTCCTCTGCCGGGATCAAGCTCTGCCCAAAGCCCTCTCCTTTCCTTGTTCATGGTTATCCCGGCTCCTCTGCCGGGATGGAGCATTTCCCAAAGCTCTCTCCTTTCCTCTCCTCTCCTCCTTGGCGGATATTCCTCTTCCCCGCTTCCTCTCGCCGTCACCCCAGCGCCTCCCTGTGCCTCCAGGTGACTGCAGCGGGCAGGAGCGCTCGGCAGCGCTTGGAGCAGACCCCGAGCATTCCCGGGGAAGGGCAGAACCAGCCCCGAGCCCCTCTCCTGTCCCGCTCCGTCCCCGGGAGGGCCCCGCTCCCTGTGCCGTGCTGTCCGGTTGGGGATGGGGCCGGAGAAATGCCGGTGTTGGGCTCCAGCCCCTTCCCGCTGTCCAGAACCGAGTCCAAATCTCTGCCTGCGCGGATAGTCCCAGTTTTTGTCGTCTCCCGGCCGCGGGCAGCGCCTCCGGAGGGGCAGGGGTTAAGTCCGGGGGTGCCCTTCCCTGACCTGCCGTCGGAAGTAGCGGATGGCCGAGAGGGAGCCGAAACCCGCCAGGAACACTGGAAAAGAGCCCAAAACGTTCCCACAGTGACTGCGGGTGCTTCTCCCGCACCCCGGGATCTGCTCCCAGCCCTGGGGATCACGGACTGCCCAGCCCGGGGGACACAGAGGGGTCACTCCTCTCCCTTCCCCACCCCGTTCCTGCTTTTCCTTTTCATTCCCAACACTGTGGAATTTGCTCCCGGTGCGTTCCCGGCTGCCCACAGCCCGACCGGCCACATCGATCCTGGAGTTTGGGTGTTAATCCTATAATTTGGGTGTTAATCTTATAATTTAGGTGCTAATCCTATGATTTGGGTGCTAATCCTGTAATTTGGGTGCACCGTTCCACAAAAAAAAATTGCTGTTTTTAAGGAAAACACTCAGCAGGCTCCACTGGTGATGGATACACAGATCCAAGTGGGGATTTCATGGATTCGTTGGAGCCACAGGTTCAGGTGGAGATTTACTCTTGGTCACCCTGGAAAAATTTCACCGGGGCTTCAGGGCATCACCTTTATTTTCCGCTTCTGTTTGGACCAGGAAGATGCCAAGAAAAAYCCCATTTTGGGGATTATCTGTGGATTTTCTAATCCCAGCCAAAACCGGAAAAAATCCAAAACTCCAAATCGAAAAATGTAGGGACATAAGAAATAATTAATGGGGATTATACAAAAAAAAATCGAGCTCTGCTCTGTACCTGCAGTTTTTGATTTAGTTTATAAGAGATATTAAATTCTCCCCGATTCTCAAGCAAAACTGGGAATCCACACTGGGACTGCCCAGTTTAAATTCAGATTTTTGATTTATGCGTTCGAGGGGCATAAACTCAGCTTTTGAGGAGCCAAAACCCTGAAGGGAATGGCTGCTGTGGAAGCACTCCTGCCTCCCTCCTCCCCGCGTTATTCGAGGAGCGGATCCCGTGTTCCGCACCTTTCCCAAAACTCCATCCCAAATTCTGGAGGAGGAGGAGAAGGGCAGGAGCTCCTTGTGACGATGGCACCGATTAGCTCAGGACAGCCTGAGCTAATGAGCTATTCCCAGCCCGGGGTGTCGGCTTCCTGCCTGACCTTAGCAGGGAACATTCCTCGCCTGGAAAAGCAGCGGGAATGGTTTGTTCCCGGCRTTTCTTCCCGTGGAAAGGCGCTCTGGGGATGGATCGGGGGGATTTGCAGGAACTGGGGATGATGCACTGGAGGGGGATCCAGGGCAGGAATTGGGGATATTGCCCCAGAGGGGGCTGGATCTGCTCCATCCAGGGCAGAAATTGGGGATGATGCACTGGAGGTGGCTGGACCTGCGGGATCCAGGAATTCCAGGGCAGGAATTGGGAATGATGCTCTGGAGGGGGATCCAGGGCAGGAATTGGGGATGATCCACTGGAGGGGGCTGGACCTGCGGGATCCAGGAATTCCAGGGCAGGAATTGGGAATGATGCACTGGAAGGGGCTGGACCTGTGGGATCCAGGGCAGGAACTGGGGATGCTCTTCTGGAAGGGCTTTCCAGGGCTGGACCTGCCTCAACCAGGGCAGGAATTTGGGATGATGCTCTGGAAGGGGCTGGATCAGCATCCCCATCCAGGGCAGGAATTGGGAATGATGCACTGGAAGGGGATTCAGGGCAGGAACTGGGGATGCTGCTCTGGAAGGGGCTGGACCTGCAGGATCCCGGTCAGGAATTGGGGATGATGCTCTGGAAGGGGCTGGATCTGCGGGATCCAGGGCAGGAATTAGGAATGATGCTCCGGAGGAGGCTGGATCTGTGGGATCCAGGAATTCCAGGGCAGGAATTGGGAATGATGCTCCGGAGGGGGCTGGATCTTCTCCATACAGGGCAGGAATTGGGAATGATGCTCTGGAAGGGGCTGGACCTACGGGATCCAGGGCAGGAATTTGGGATGCTCTTCTGGAGGGGGCTGGATCTGCGGGATCCTGGAATTCCAGGGCAGGAATGGGGAATGATGTTCTGGAGGGGGGTGGATCTGTGGTATCCAGGGCAGGAATTGTGGATATTGCCCCAGAGGGGGCTGGATCTTCTCCATCCAGGGCAGGAATTTGGGAATGMTGCACTGGAGRGGGATCCAGGGCAGGAATTGTGGATGCTGCTCTCCCTGAGCCATTCCCAGCGATCCCCACTCTGGCTGGATTCAGCGAATTTGTGTTTCCCCATCTTCCTCTCCTCGCACCAGCTGTGGTTNATTCCTCGCCTGGAAAAGCAGCGGGAATGGTTTGTTCCCGGCATTTCTTCCCGTGGAAAGGCGCTCTGGGGATGGATCGGGGGGATTTGCAGGAATTGGGGATGATGCTCTGGAGGGGGATCCAGGGCAGGAATTGGGGATGATGCTCTGGAGGTGGCTAGATCTGCGGGATCCTGGAATTCCAGGGCAGGAATTGGGAATGATGCGCTGGAGGGGGATCCAGGGCAGGAATTGGGGATGATCCACTGGAAGGAGCTCTTTGGGGCTGGACTTGCTCCATTCAGGGCAGGAATTTGGGACGCTGCTCCGGAGGGGTCTGGATCTGCTTCATCCAGGGCAGGAATTGGGAATGATGCTCTGGAGGGGGCTGAGCTTGTGGGATCCTGGGTAGGAATTGGGAATGATGCACTGGAAGAGGCTCTGCAGGGCTGGACTTGCTCAAGGGCAGGAATTTGGGGTGCTGCTCTGGAGGGGGCTGGATCTGCTCCATCAGGGCAGGAGTTTGGGGCGAGGAATTGGGGATGGTGCTCTGGAAGGGGCTGGACCTGTGGCATCCAGGAATTCCAGGGCAGGAATTAGGAATGATGCGCTGGAAGGGGCTGGATCAGCATCCCCATCCGGGCTGGACCTGTGGGATCCAGGGCAAGAATTGGGGATGATGCTCTGGAGGGGGATCCAGGGCAGGAATTGGGAATGATGCTCTGGAAGGGGCTGGACCTGCGGGATCCAGGGCAGGAATTGGGGATGATGCGCTGGAGCGGGCTGGACCTGTGGGATCCAGGAATTCCAGGGCAGGAATTGGGAATGATGCTCCGGAGGGGGCTGGATCTTCTCCATCCAGGGCAGGAATTGGGAATGATGCTCTGGAGGGGGCTGGACCTACGGGATCCAGGGCAGGAATTTGGGATGCTCTTCTGGAGGGGGCTGGATCTGTGGTATCCAGGGCAGGAATTTGGGATGATGCACTGGAGGGGGCTGGATCTATGGGATCCAGGGCAGCAATTGTGGATATTGCCCCAGAGGGGGCTGGATCTTCTCCATCCAGGGCAGGAATTTGGGAATGATGCACTGGAGGGGGATCCAGGGCAGGAATTGTGGATGCTGCTCTCCCTGAGCCATTCCCAGCGATCCCCACTCTGGCTGGATTCAGCGAATTTGTGTTTCCCCATCTTCCTCTCCTCGCACCAGCTGTGGTTTGAGACGAGAGAATCCCACAGATCTGGGAGGAATTGCGGGGTTTGGTGCAGCAGGATGRTGCTGTGTTTAGGGACGAGAATTAAACCTTCCGAGCACATCAGGAAAAAGCGGGAATTTTGTTCCCTAATTCCTAGGGAATCCTCTCTCCTGACAAACTGGGGACTGGAAGGAGCAGCACCAAGGCTATGGACAGAGCTCAGCTCCAGCCAGCAAGGAAAGCACAAAAAAAAAAAAAATCAGGATTATAGAAGAGACGAAGCACGGAAAGGATTTTGAAAAAGCAGGAAAACGCTGCATTTCCCCACAGGCAGCAGGAGGGATCGATATCCCCGCTCTCCTCCCTGCCGAGTGTCCCTCGGGGCCCTTCCCACCCTCCCCCAGTACGTACTGGTTTTCCAGGCATCCGGAGCCTGCAGGTCGCATGTCTTCACCGCCCAGGASGCGAAGGCGCAGAAGACGAGGCACATGTCCTTGTGGCTCAGCACCCGCGGGTCCCCCGCTGCTCCTGCCACGAGAGGAGCACGAGGTCTGTGCCACCTCCCCTGCCACCCCCCGGTCCCCCGGGCACAGCAAATCCAGCTGGCATTCCCGGGGAACCGTCCCCGGAGGTGTTTTTTGTCACCCGGCTCTGGTCAGGACTCAGGTGCGTTCCCAAAGGACAGTGGCTTTTCAGTCCCCTCTTTTTTTCCCCGCTCTCAGTCTTAAAAACTCCGAGGAAATGTTTTTTAAAGCCTCCCCCAGGATTTCTGGCTGCTCATCACCTCCCTGCGGATCTTCTCTGCGGCGGCTGGGATTGGGTCAGGGGAGCAGATTTGGGAGCAGATTTGGGACAGAGCCGTTCCTGGGGCCACCAGCGAGGTCCCCTCCTTGTCACCAGTGTCACCCAGCTCTGGGACAGCCCTGAGAGACCCCAGAGCTCGGTTCTCACCCCATCCCACCCCTCCAGGGATGGAGACACCCCCGAGTGCCCGGCACTCCCTGCCCCGCTGCASCTCCAGCCTCGCAGATCTCAACATYGGGTTATTTTTGCTCCTATTCATCYKTCTTTTAATTAAAACYGGCTTATTAATTASCTGGGACCACCCCAAAAKGTTTTTTCCTCCGTGCAAATAGACTGGAAGCTCAATTTTAAGGCTCTCTTYGGGATGACTTCCTCATTGTTTGGGTTTAAAATGAACTCTGGGGTTCCAAGCACCAGAGATAAACCCCTGCCTGTCCTCGAGGGCCAAACTCCTCCCTTTATTCCCATTTCTCCCCGCTGCCTGCAGGAACAGGCAATGTCCAGTGTTTTCTGAGCTCTCCGGAGGGTTTTTTTCCTAATCAGAGTGGGATTTACAACCCCAGATTCCCT